ACGTGGCAGTACACGTTACAGTCACACTCGCTACAGCACGACCCGGTATCCAGCCGGAGCGACTCCAGGCCAGTCAGCGACCACAGCGACTCGGGGATGACTGCTGACGTAGAGTGACGGCGGCTCCCTGCGTGGCGACTCGGTTCGTCCTCGTTATAAGACCCTGTAGGCGCATGGTGCTTAAAGAAGAGAGCGGTTAACGACGGCGCAAGGCCAGCGAAAAGGGCCGGCGAGAGGACGGCAGGGGAGTGCGGCAGTGCTGCGTCAAGCTGCGTCGGCAGCTGTAGGCCGGCCATAACGTGCAGCTCGTGCGGAGTGAGCGATACGCTATCAGACGATACGCGATCCGCCGGTGGCGGGTGATAAGTGATCGTCAGGGAGAGCGACTCGAGGCAGGCGAGATGGGAGAAGGGCGATCCGGATTGTAGGATGGGCTCCGCGGGGAGGGAGAGCGAGAGTGAGAGGCGCTTGAGACGCTTAGCTAAGAAAAACGCTTTGGGAAGAAACACGAGCGGGAGAGCAAGGCTCGTGAGGCGGGAAAAGCAGTGCGCGGCGATCCTTGGAAGAAAAACATTGCTGCCGTCTCCGCCGTCGCTGCCGCCGCTACCGATGCTGTCGAGTTCGTTCAGCACGGCGAACCTTCCTTGCAGGTACAGCGCCGTGAGTCGCGGACAACCTCTCGCTAATGCCTCCAGGCCTTCCGCTAACCTACCCGTGCCTCTCACATCGGGTCGCGATACCACCTCTAAGGCGCACGACTCGAGCGACTTCAATCCACCACCGTCCGGCTTTAGTCCTCCCTCGTCAATGCTGCTACCAGCGACACGGCTCTTCCTCTCACCTCCTAGAATCTTCAGGATCGGGCCCAGATGTTCCGCGCGGCATGCCAAGCCGACGCTTAGCAGGTTGGGGACCTGCCGAACCAGCATCCGAACCTGGCTTGGCGACCATTCCTTTGGGGAGCTCCACAATCCGTGAGAGAGCAGCGATTCTTCGCCACGTGGCAGAATGCAATTGGCTCCTCCCGGCGCCGTAATCGCCGTCCAGCTCTCGATTATGGAAGGATCGCGACGCGCGACGAACCCACGGTTGCTGACGTCAGCCAAGAAGAGACTGGAGTGCGCTTGAACGGGATCGAAGACCGTGGACACGTGGCGCACGGCCATTGGAGAGACGCGACGCCATGCTTTGCAGACGCAGAGAGCGGAAACGACGTCCTTGCGATCGTGAAGCTTCTGAAGGATCTTCGCGACAATCGCATCGTCCATTCGTGAAATGGGGGACTTCAACGACGACTCGTCGTCTTCCGTTACGTGCTTCCGTAATATCGTGCTCTCGCAGCCCATTTCCATTTCTTCGGGTCGCCCGCTGTAAGGCGATCTCGATGCGCAAAATTGCCACACTTTCTAATATAGCCCAAGGTCAACGATGGCCAAATGCTAGTGGGTTCCAGTAAGAGCAAGCGAGGAGCTTGACGACAGGCACCTTCTCTGCAGCAATCAGAATTAGAAAACCGTTATCACAATTTTACTGTATGCACTCGCATGTGCAGAAAGAAGAGACAACTAGGTTGGGCATGGGCTGGCGGGAGAGCACAGAAATAGGAAGCTTTTAGGAGGGTGGTGGGAGAGGTGGCAGGAAACAGACTACGAGGGGAGATGGTTGGTTTTGAGGTCAAGAAGGCAGACTAGTGAAATGTTCACGAACTGGTCAGAGCAGTTTGGCAAGGCGACGCGGCGACGTCGTTAGGCGGTGCGGTGAATGCGCACCGCGCAGAGACAAGGCACCAGTTGTATACCGCTGACCAGCAACAGCCACGTGGCGGAATTGACTAGTCAGCAGCTGTCTCAGTGAGGGAACCAGAAAGCGGCTCCAATTGGCTGGAGTTTGTGTACGTCTGTCGGTTCACACGTGCTATAAAGACGACAGCACTTTGTGGTTGTGTGGTACGAGGCGCATCGCGGTGCTTTTCACGCACTTCACCACCCTGTCGGTGAGCCAACTCAGCATCGAGAAGACGTAGAATTCGTGCGACCAGCACAGCAAAGAAAATATTGGTCCCGCTTTGCATTTTATCGGATTGGGCCCTTGGATGTCACGCCGACCAGAAATGCGCACCGCTTTATAGTGGGCGACCTCGTTAGAGTGTTGAAGTCCTGCCAGTTATCTATCCGCATCTCGGTACCCCTACAATAAATAAAGACGAATTTTCAGTCTCTATTGCTTAACTCAAACCTTTAAAACCATGTTCCCAGAATCCCAGAATCCCAGAATCCCAGAATCCCAGACTCACCCACATTGGTTTACTTAGCGAGCACATTGCCGCACACTTTGTCGAAATTAGTGTGCACATTGCCTAATCCCAAAACTAAGATGATTTGCAAGATGAAGATTCAGCAAGCTAACATTGGCCATGTCAGTCAGACTTCGAGCTTGCATATGCAAGCAAAATGGCAGACACTACGACAGGAGTAATGATAATCGTGAGGGCAACAGCCAGGCTGGGTGACTCTGTAAGCTGCGGCACAATGAAAAGGCTTCCGTATTTTATTGCCACCGCTCCCACCACACACCCCCCTAAAGCTTTGGCGAAGTATGGTCCATCGTCCTGATGCAAGGTTGGAGGGAAATGGGACAAGGTTGAGCAGGGGGGGGTTGCGCACAAAATGTGAGGTGGACACATAGCCTTGCATAGCCTGATGGAAGGATAGATAGTGCTAGAGCATGATGATGTATAGTAGCACATTATGATATATAGTAGCACATGATGATATATATATATATATATATATATATATATATAGAAGGACATGATGATATAGTAGCACATGATGATAGATAGTAGCACAAGATGATGATGATGATGATAGATATATAGATAGATAGATAGATAGATAGATAGATAGATAGATAGATAGATAGATAGATAGATAGATAGATAGATAGATAGATAGATAGATAGATAGATAGATAGATAGATAGATAGATAGATAGATGGATAGATAGATAGATAGATGGATGGATGGATAGATAGATGGATGGATGGATGGATGGATGGATGGATGGATGGATGGATGGATGGATGGATGGATGGATGGATGGATGGATGGATGGATGGATGGATGGATGGATGGATGGATGGATGGATGGATGGATGGATGGATGGATGGATGGATGGATGGATGGATGGATGGATGGATGGATGGATGGATGGATGGATGGATGGATGGATGGATGGATGGATGGATGGATGGATGGATAGATAGATAGATAAATAGCTGGACAGGCTGGCAAGGCGGCAAGGTAAAATTAGGAGGGACCAGGCAAACCATCTCCATCACCCTTCAAATCTAATAATCTGCCTCCTTCCCCCCTTCCTCCCCCTTCCCCTCGCTCCCCGCCTCCTCCCTTCCTCCCCCCCCCCTCACCCTCTCACCTCCACACTCCTCCCCCTTTCCCCCTAACGCCTCCCCCACACACGGCTACCCTCAGCGGGGATTACCTTGGAAAATAGGGGGCGTTTCTCGTCCGCGTGCCCACGTCCCTGTCCGCTTTCACCCTTGCTCGATGCCCTCACCGCCACTCCTGCACTCCTGCGCGGAACCCCCAAACTCCGAAGCTGCCGCTGCTGCTGACCCTCGCGCCGCACAGGGAAAAAGAGTGAATGCGACGATAAGGGTTGACGGGGTGCTGTGAGCACAGCAGAGGCTGACGTCGTTGGTACGGACGTCATTGTTGCTGCTGACGTCATCGTCGGTGGTGAGGCACGTGGGTTTTTGTCAGCGGCGGAGCTGGATGGACGAGGCGGGAGATAGGGCTGGAGGAAGGTGCGGCGGGGATGGTAAGTGGCAGCAATCTAGGGTAAATGTTAGCGGGAGATATGGCAGGATTGCTGTAGGTAGCACTGGACCTCAAAGTAAGGAAATTTCGTCGTGGAAGTCGAAAAAGAGTGGGAAACAAACCCGACAATGAGACAAACCGTTATAGCTCGTCGAGGAAAGTAATTAACAACTAGCAGCTAACTAGGTTCAGACAAATAACAAAACGGAATGAGAGGAAGCTCCTGCGGGCCCTGCTCTGAAAGGTGCTGCTCGACAGGTCGCCCGATGCGCGGAAACGATTATGTCGGTCTAGACTTTCGATTAGAGCAGCAAGGACGAAATTCTAAATTCTGCCGCTCCCCACTTTCCCGCACATGGGCGGGGCGCGGAGGACCTCGCGGAAGATTTGGCGGAGGAAAGATGTGGTTCTGGTTTGTGGATCTGTAGTTGACGAATGTATCTCAACCTAACGAATATGTACGGAGCGTTACGAAGCTATAGAATGTCGTGAATTCGTGAAGGTTTGGGAACCAAGTATGATGCTCTCCGCAGTCCCGAGAACCTTCGGTGTCACAGTTTTCCAAAAAGATCGCGGCGCTCGTAGATGTCAAGGCACAGATAGCCAATCAGGAGAAGACACACACTTCCTCTTTGGTCTAATAACTGCATTCTGAACACGCCCTCAAGTGTACACGTCTCTCGAACCAACGATCCATCCCTTTCACCCATCACACTCACACTTCACAGACTGATCAATTCTCTGACATCGCATTTTTCCCTTTTTGTCCAGTCACCCTGACTGACATCTTTCGTGCCCGACTCCGCCCTTCAGGGGGGATTTTCACAGGAAATCGGCACGATTACTATCAGCAAGTCCAACGGCAGTGCGACACAACCCACAGTAGCCACGCAGAACTGCCACGTCTAAATTTTCCCTTCATCCAGTGATCCCACCGACCCTTGAGCTCATTCGGGCTTCGTTCACGACAAGCAGTCCACCTCTCGGTCCCCATAGCTGCATGATACCTCGATTCTGAGCCGCATCTCACAAATCGGCGCCACCAGCGCGTCTCAGTCACCATGTCGCGTAGATCCTCTCCGACATCCATCCCTACTACTATTTCACGCTAGTGCTTCTCGCGTCTCTGAAAATTTGCCCCAGCAGCGCGTCTCGTCATCATGTCGCGTAGACTCCCTGCCACATCTACCCCTACTACTATCTCTCGCCAGTGCTGCTCGCGGCTCAGATTCTCCACCCGGCGCCTCTCCACCCCTTCATCCCCTCTGGTGTCAACCGCCAGAACAGCAGTCTCGCTTCTCACATCCCTCGTTATAGTCATCTCCGTTATACCATCCTCGGGTCCTCCACAATCAAACTTTCGATCATATTCCGTCTCGTTACTATCACAATCCAATGGCATTCGAGTGTTGGCGGAGGCGTGGCGTTTCAAGGAGAATCCTCTTGAACATGCGAAACATCCGCGCATGGTTACCCTGTTCTCCGTGGAGTGCGGTCCCTACTTTGACTGGCAGACCGTGGGGCTCATGCACAGCTACAGGTATGCAGGGGGAGAGTGTGTGCGTGGGTGCGACTTTTGAGGCGCCTCAAAATCGGTTACTCTGTTCTCCGTAGAGTGTACTTTGACTGGCAGACCGGGGGGCTCATGCACAGCTACAGGTGGGGGGGTGAGAGTGTGTGTGTGAATAGCTTATGCGTACAGGTGGGTGTGTGTGTGTGTGTGTGTGTGTGTGTGTGTGTGCGTGCGTGTGTGTGTGTGTGTGTGTGTGTGTGTGTGTGTGTTTCTGTGTGTGCATGTGGGAGGCCGAGGAGAGGGAGAGAGGGGAGTGCGTGTGGGAGGGAGATGAGAAGAATGGGAGGGGGAGAGGGGATGTGGTGGTCTGTGTGTGTGAGTGAGGGGAAGGCGGAAGGAGTGGGGTTCATGCATGGCTACAGGCTATATCACTGAAATCGTGTGATTGGGCCATATCTTGTCTCTGCCTGCCTGCTGTTCCCCTTACACCAGGCGCAGCCGCGCAGCAAGCAACCGGGCCCCAGCACCAGACTCCTCAGCTGCACGGAGGAGCAGCCGGGGGATTACCCCAACATGGACCTTGCTCCCACGACGCACACCATCATCTCTCCCATGTGCTGCCTTTCACACGTCCTGTGTAATGTTCTGTCTACCCGTCTGCCCTTTCCCCTTCTCCAGGCGCAGCAAGCAACCAGGCCCCATCACTCGCCTGCTCAGCTGCACAGAGGAGCAGCTAAAGGATTACCCCAACATGGACCTCGCTCCCACGCACACCGTGCCCTCCATGTCCCTCGACCCCAAGACTGGCGAGTGGTAGGTCTCTATATGTGTGGGGAGGTCGAGTGATTCGTACCTGTCTGGCGGGACTGCTTGTGTTCTGCTTGCATCGCAACACAGCAGCTGAGGGACTACCCCAACATGGACCTCGCTCCCACACACACCGTGCCCTCAATCAATGTCTCTCGACCCCAAGACTGGCGAGTGGTAGGTTGTCTGGGGCTTGGCTTGCTCGCTCTTCTCCTTGTCGTCTGGTTTCAAACTGAGTCGCATCTCACTCACTACAAGGCAGCAGAGTTAAGGTAGTACCCCAAGATGCACCTCGCTCCCACACATACCGTGCCATGCCATGGTGACTTTTGAAATCGACTCAAAAGTCACCTCGCTCCCACACATACCGTGCCATGCCATGCATGAGTGAGTTTCAAACCCAACACTGTTGTGTTGAGTGGTAACACACTGGCGAGTGGTATGCCGCCGCTGTTGTGCCCTGTGGCTATGTGGCAGTGCTGTGCTGTGTGTGGCTAGGTTGAGTACGGTTTTTTCTCCCTTCTCTTCCCTCCTCTTCCTGTCCTCCCCCCCCTTCCCCTCCCCTCCCTCCCTCACCCTCGACAGGTACCCAGCAATCAATAAGCCCTACGGCGTGTGGCACTGGGTGCAGCACAGCCCACAAGCAAAGCAGGCGGAGTGGGTGGTGATTCTGGACTCTAAACTGTTACCCACTGTCTCTCTCCTCTTCCTCCTCTCCTCCCACCCCTTCCCCGCCACGCCCTCTCGCCCCCGCTGCAGGTACCCAGCAATCAACAAGCCGTACGGCGTGTGGCACTGGGTGCAGCACAGCCCGCAGGCACAGCAGGTGGAGTGGGTCGTGATCCTCGACGCTGACATGGTCATCAGAGCGCCCGTCACTCCTTGGGGCGTGAAAGCAGACAAGGGCAAACCAGTTGCTGCCTATTACGGGTACGTTCGAGCATGAAAACCCCAGCGGTATTGCGTTGGGAAAGTGCAAGCACAGCAGGCGGAGTGGGTGGTGATCCTGGACGCTGACATGGTCATCAGGGCGCCCGTCACTCCTTGGGGCGTGAAAGCAGACAAGGGCAGGCCAGTTGCCGCCTATTACGGGTACGTGGAGTCTGGTGGGGTAAAGACGGGGCACAGGCACCTTGGCGCGCCAGTGTGTGCGTTGGAAGAGCAGAAGGCAGAGTGGGCGGTGGTTCTAGACGCTGACATCCCTTGATGTGGTGGCCTATCAGAGCGCCCATCACCCCGTGGGGCGTCAAGGCAGAGAAGGCAACGTATTGGTTGTTTCGCACTCATGGCGGCTGCCTGTCCGTCTCTGTTCTCTCGGCTCCTCACCTCCTCCTGCCCCCTTGTTCCTCCCCCCACTCCCTCCTCTCTCCCCCTCAGCTACCTCATCGGTTGTGACAACATACTGGCCCAGCTGCACACCAAGCACCCCGAGCTGTGTCCCAAAGTGGGCGGATTCATAGTCATGCACATTGACGATCTGCGCCGCTTCGCCCCGCTCTGGCTCAGCAAGACACAGGAGGTGCGCTTTAGGGGGATGTTGATGTGAGCCAAAGGGAGCCACAAGGCAAAGCAAGGTGAGTTCCGGTGGCGGCCTTGCCACCCTTAAGTGACCAGGTGTGTCCCAAAGTGGGCGGATTCATGGTCATGCACATTGAAAACCTGTGCCGCTTCGCCCCGCTCTGGCTCAGCAAGACACAGGAGGTGCATTGTCTCATGTCAGAAGGAATCGAGCTGGCTGTGACTAGATTTTATCATGCACAGTTGTCGGAGTGTCGTCCGCAAGTGCAACGTTTCTCATCTTCTTGTTCGCTTCTCTTGAGGAGCCTCAAAAGTTCTCTCCCTCCCGTTCAGGTGCGAGCGGACAAGGCCCACGACGTGAGGAACATCACAGGAGACGTGTACTCATCAGGGTGGCTTTAGAGCCGAATCAAATGTCTCTTTATGTCTCATGCGGTTCTCTCTAACTTCTCCCCCTCAGGTGCGAGCGGACAAGGCACACTATGCGAGGAACATCACAGGGGATGTGTACTCATCAGGGTGGATCAGCGAGATGTATGGCTACTCTTTTGGTGTTGCTGATGTGAGTGCGGGGCATGGCATGGCATGGCATGGTATGGCATGGTACACTGTGGTGTTAGGAGATTTGAAATAGTTTAGCAAGATGTGTGGCTACTCGTTTGCTGCCGGTAATGTGAGTCCAAGGCATGGCATGGGATGGCATGGCATGGCTAGGGATGGTCATTTGTGGTGCGATGAGATACGAAGAGGTTCGGTGAGATGTAGGGCTACTCGTTTGGTGCTGCTGATGCGAGTGCAGGACTGATGTGCTGATGGGAGGGTTAATGCCAACCAACAGAACAGGTGGATCAATCAAACCATGACGCTGTACCCGCAGTGTACTGAGTTGACTTTTGAGTCGACTCAAAAGTCGTGCTGATGGGAGGGTTAATGCCAACCAACAGAACAGGTGGATCACAATGCTTCCTTCCATCAAACCACAATGCTGTACCCCCGGTATACTTCCCCCTTTTTTAGTCGACTCAAAAATCAATCCACGATGCTGTGCTGTGCCCCCCCGGAGTACGCCCCCTGCCATGCATGCAGCCCTGTCTATCTAACCCGGCCTCTCTTCTCTCCCGCTATGGACTCTCTGCTATCAACCCCCCCTTGTTGCCTTGCCCCTCCCCACAGGCAGGATTGCGCCACCAGCTGGACCAAAACATGATGCTCTATCTGACATACGTCCCCCCGCCAGCCATGCAGCCCCGTGTACTGCCCCACCCGCCTTCCTCCTTTCCTCACAAACACAACCCTCCCAATGCTCTATCTGACATACGTCCCCCCGCCAGGCATGCAGCCCCGTGTACTGCCCCATGTACTGCCCCGTGTACTGCCCCATGTACTGCCCCGTGTACTGCCCCATGTACTGCCCCATGTACCGCCCCATTATACTGCTTGCTGATTCCCCAGCTCCCACCCCACCACTCCCGCCCTCCTCCTCCACCCCCTCTACAGGCCGTCCTACATGCATGCTACACCACCAGTTGGACCAAACAACAATGCCTGGGGGAACAACCCCGTAGTGCTGATACCCAGGGTACGTCGTCCCCCTGCCAGGCGTGGACCCGTGCCTGCTGCACTGCACTACAGCCACTCTTCTTCAACCTGTTCCCCCTCTCTCTCTTCTCTCCCTCCTCCCCCCCAACAGGCGGGGTTGCACCATCAAGTCGACCGAACAACCATGCTCTACCCAGGCTACACCCCAACGCCAGGCGTGGACCCCCGCTTGCTGCACTACGGGCTTGCCTTCTCCGTCGGCAACTGGAGCTTCGGCAAGTCGCAGCATCGCACGGACAAGATTGTGAATGAGTGCAACCGGCTGTTTGACCCGCCTCCATTCCCCTCTGAGGTGAGATTTTTGGAGGATTTGAGCTTCGGGAAGTCACAGCACCGAACAGACAAGATTGTCAATGAGTGCAACCGGCTGTTTGACCCGCCTCCATTCCCCTCTGAGGTGAGATTTTTGAAGGAATTGAGCTTCGGGAAGTCACAGCACCGAACAGACAAGATTGTCAATGAGTGCAACCGGCTTTTCGACCCTCCACCGTTCCCCTCTGAGGTGAGTTGTGGAGTGGTCCCTAATGCGTGAGATGGAGACATCAAGTCAAGTGAGCAACTGGACCTTTGGCAAGTCACATCATCGGACGGACAAGATTGTCAACGAGTGCAACCGTCTGTTTGACCCGCCTCCATTGCCCTCTGAGGTGAGGCATTGAGTGCAAGAGTTGGTTGGTTCTGATGTCAGATTGTTTTTTGAGGCGCCTCAAAAATCGTTTCAACGCAACCGGCTGTTTGATCCTCCTCCGTTACCTTCTGAGGTGAGCCATTGAGGGCAAGAGCTGGTTCTCATATCATCAGATTGGGTCTATTTTTGAGTCGACTCGAAAATCGACTCCTCCATTCCCTTCTGAGGTGCAACATTGAGTGCAAGAGTTGGCTCTCATGTCAGATTGGTTCTTGAGAAGTGTGCTTTGGCAAGTCACATCATTGCACGGATAAAATTGTGAATGAGTGCAACAGACTGTTTGACCCTCCGCTGTTCCCCTCTGAGGTGAGGCATTCAGAGGTGTTGAGGTTTGGCATCAGCACTGCACGGATATGTTTGTGAATGAGTGCAACAGACTCTTCAACCCCCCGCCGTTCCCTTCTGAGGTGAGACATTCAATGGGGTGAGGCGTTGAGGATGCGTGAGAAGGAGGATCGAGAGACATGTTCTAGCGAGCAGCAGTTAAGGGGAAACAGCTGTAGAATAACCTAGCTTCTTTGCGTAGGGTTTTGTACGGCGGGTGAGGCGTTGAGGATGCATGAGAAGGAGAACCCACGTGGTGGGCGTCATGAGAAGGAGAACCCACGTGGTGGGCGTCATGAGAAGGAGAACCCACGTGGTGGGCGTCACTCATGGTTTTGGAAGAGCAGTAGTGCTAGAGAAAGCGTTTAGCAAGTAAGAAAGAGAGTAAAACTCACGTGGTGGGCTATTGAGGAGCCTTGGGAAGTCTCAGTACCACACGGACAGGATTGTGAATGAGTGAAATCGGCTGTTTGACCCTTTGTCATTCCCTTCTGAGGTGGGGCGTGGACTCCACGCTGTGGAGTGGTGAAACGCACTGAAGGTGTTGCACTAGGTGTGGATGATTTATTGGGGAATTCTATATCTCTAGCGACGTGCATGACGAAGTGTTTTGAGACGTCTCAAAACACTTCTTCATACATTCCCTTCTGAGGTGGGGCGTGGAGTGGTGATGCGAGGCACTGAAGGTGATGTGAGGCACTGAAGGTGATGCGAGGCACTGAAGGTGATGCGAGGCACTGAAGGTGATGCGAGGCACTGAAGGTGATGCGAGGCACTGAAGGTGATGCGAGGCACTGAAGGTGATGCGAGGCACTGAAGGTGATGCGAGGCACTGAAGGTGATGCGAGGCACTGAAGGTGATGCGAGGCACTGAAGGTGTTGCACTTGTGAGAAAGTTTGAAGAAGAACCGATGGTTGCATTAGGAAACATGCGGGTATACATAGTTAGCTAGAATGGGAAGTATGGTTGGGAACCTTGCCAACATTATTGGCCCCCACCAATAAGTTGGGTTGAGGAGTTTCTTGGGGGGACCAATAATGTTGACCAACGTGGGTCAACAGTTCTAAGGGGGAGCAATAATCTCCCAACCTTGGAGGCCCAATATTTGGGCCAAGGTTGGGTTCCAACAAATTAGGGTTAACCCTAGTTGTGCACCCAAACTAAGTTTGGGAACCTATCTCTAGCCAAAGCTTATAGAATCGATGCAGGTTACAATGAAGATGATAATCTGACAGCACTGGGTGTGGATGATCTATTGGGGAACTCTAGATCTGTAGCGTGAGCTTTGGCAAGTTGAGGCACATGACAGAGCGGGTCATTACGAGTGTAATGAACTGTTTGACCCCCGCACAAAAACATCGGCACGAGGTGCCTTGAGCGGGTCATTTACGAGTGCAATTGATTGTTTGACCCCCGCACAAAAACATCGGCACCATGACGTGACGTGAACGAAGAAAATAGTACCATGCTGTAACAAGTCATGCCCTCTGTCCTGTCCCATCCACATTCCCTGCCTTTTCTCCCCTTTCCGCCCCTCTTTTTTTTTTTTTTGAAACCCCTTACGTGTAGATCATTGAGCGCGACAAAGAGAAGAAGCGGGGCCTTTTATTGAGTTTAGAGTGCATCAACACATTGAACGAGGGCCTTATGATCCACCATGCCACCCACGGCTGCCCCAACCCAGCCCCCTCCCCCTATCGCTCCATGCTGCTGTGAGTGCGCCCCCTCCCCCTACCATTGCTTCTATAAGGATGAGTGCATGCACGGCTGCCCCAACCCAGCCCCCTCCCCCTATCTCTAGCCAAAGCTTATAAGAATCGATGAACGTCAAGCAATACTTTTGTGTCTACATCTCAATTTCTCTTTCTCTCTCTCTCCCCTCCCATTGTTCCCTTCTCTCCCTCCCCCCTCCCTTTTTTCGCTTCTCTCCCTTCCACCCCCTTATGGTCAATCTCAAATTCATAATGTTGGGTCTGTCCTCTCTTATTTTGAGGTGCCTCAAAATTCTTTCTTGTTAGCAGTCATTGCTTGACGTTCACCCTTTAGCAGTCATTGCTTGACGTTCACCCTTTAGCAGTCATTGCTTGACGTTCACCCTTGAGCAGTCATTGCTTGACGTTCACCCTTTAGCAGTCATTGCTTGACGTTCACCCTTTAGCAGTCATTGCTTCTGTCTGCTTGCCTGTATGCACTCTCATCCACCACACTCTCATCGTTTCTGTCCGCGCTCCCTTTTGTGAGATCCCTCTACTCTTTCATGTTGGTTTGACTTTTGAGAATTCTCAAAAGTCAAACCTTTTGTGAGATCCCTCTTCTCTTCCTCTAACCTTCCTTTCTCGCGCTCTACCCTTCCTCGCTCCCCCCTCTCCCCTTTGCGAGCATCCAGTCATCCCTGGGCCCTTCTGCCTTTGGCCCCGGCCTGTCGTCATTCCACCCTCCACGGCAATGACAGTGAGGGAGAGGGGAAGAGTGGAGGGCCTATTTCTCACGCCCCTCCACCCTTCCCCTCTCCCTCGCCGCTCCCTCTTATCCCTCCCCCTTCCACCAGTGCAAGAATCCAGACGTCTCTGGGACCTGCTGCCTTTGGCCCCACTGTCTCTTCCCAGCCCGAAGAGGGCATGCTCCGAGGGGAGGTGAGGGGAGCGGCTGGCAGTGCAGGCGGCCAATCATTCCTCGCACCTGCCGCCTGCCTATTTCTGACGCCCTTTTCCCCTGCCCTCTCCCATTCCTCTCTTTCTCGCCTCTGCCCTTCCTTTCTCTCTCCCAACCCACCAGTGCGAGCATCCAGTCATCTCTGGGCCCTGCTGCCTTTGGCCCCACTGTCTCTTCCCAGCCCGAAGGGGGCATGCTCCGAAGGGAGGTGAGGGGAGCGGCTGACAGTGCAGGCGTCCACTCATCATCCCTGCCTTTCACCTTTCCGTCTCATCACTCTCTCTTCCCCGCCCACCAGTGCGAGCATCCAGTCATCCCTCGGACCTTCTGCCTTTGGTCCCACTGTCTCTTTGATCCCTGAAGGGGGCATGCTCCGAGGGGAGGCGAGGGGAGCGGCTGTGGGAGGAGGAGTAAGAGGGGGGTTAGGAAACTCTGTTGTTGCCAACACCGGCGTTGGGGGTAAGAGCAACAGCAGTGGCAGCAGCAGCAGCGGCGGTGGTGGCAGCGGCAGCAACAGCAGCAGCAGTGGGATGAAAGGGATTGGGGGGGGTGAGAGTGGGATGGAAGGGGTAGGGGGTGCAGCAGAGGGGGCAGGAGAGAGCGAGGAGGAGAGGGTAGTGGAGCAGGTTGAGAAGGAGACAGGTGTGGGTTTCTGGGGAGATGATGGTGTTGATAGTAGTGATGGTGCTGATGGGGATGATGGTGGTGCTGATGCTGATGCTGATGGGGATGGGAACAACAAGCAAGAACAAGGGAAGGCTGGGGATCAAGCAGAGGGGCAAGCGCAAGGGGAGAGCAGCGAGCAGCAGAAAGGAGGCAGCAAAGGCATTCGAAGTAACAGAGGCAGAGGCAGAGGCAGAGGAGGGGATGACAAGTCCCCTCCTCTGGCAGACACTACCGAGAAACTCCATAAGTGGATGGACAAGTGGAGGAAAACCATACGCTCCCTCCTCCCCTCCTCTTTTCAAGACGCCTCCCGCCTTCCTATTCTCGAAATCGACTCCCCTCCTCCCGTTCCTCTCCCGCTGCCGAACCTGGGCCCGGACGTGCCTGTTGATCCGGCTCGGGACCCGAACCTTTGGCAGCCGTTTCATGTGAAGGGCACGCCGAGGCTGGTCACGCTTTTTTCGGGCGAGTGTACTGCGTATTTCGATTGGCAGACGCTCGGGCTGATGTACAGCTTTCGGAGGAGCGGGCAGCCCGGAAAACTTGTGCGGCTGCTGGCTTGTAACGAGGACATGCTTAAGGAGTACAAGGGGCTGGACCTGGCTCCGACTATGGTGGTGCCGAATTGGGACCACGACCCCCACAACGGAGATTGGTGCGTGTGCATACTTGTTCATTCAGTGAGCTTCGGGATGGGTAGAGTGGGTGAGAGGGGCTGGTGTTGGGTTGGACCTAGCAGCACCAACTATGGTGGTGCCGAATTGGGACCATGACCCCCACAACGGCGACTGGTGCGTGTGCAGTGCAGTGGGCTTCTGGTGGTGGGACGGGGGGAGGAAGGGGGAGGGTGAGGGGGGGGGAGACGTGGGTGGAGTTCACCTTAAGGGGTGCAACGACTATGGTGGTGCTAAATTGGGGCTCTGATCCGCAGAACAAGGTGTTTTTAGAGTCGACTCAAAAGCATTATTTCTCACCTCCTCCTCTCCCAGTCTGCTTTTGAGTCGACTCTCAAAAGTCACTACAATGACTATGTTGGTGTTGAATTGGGGCGAGACCCTGATCCGCATAACAGGGACGGGTGGGGCAGGGTACAGGGTTGCTCTGTGGCTTTGGAAATGCGTGGAACGGGCTGGAAAGGGGTATATAAGGGGACAACGGCTGCAGAGAGGTGATTTTTGAGGCGACTCGAAAATCACCTCGGTATATAAGGAGACAACGTCAGCAACAGCTACGGTTGCACACCCTGTGTCTGGATTTCTCAACTAGAGCAACAACAGCACTGCTACCTCTGCCTCACCTTTCCCCACTCCCTCATCCCCCTCCCCCTTTCTTTTTTTCAGGCACTCCGCCATAAACAAGCACGTGGGAGGAAAGTTGGCTTGACAACAGCCCCCCCTTCCTCTTTTTTCCTATTCCCTCCCAACCCCATCCCCCTCCTCCTTCTCCCCCCTCCCCCTTTCTTTTTCTCAAGCACTCCGCCATAAACAAGCACGTAGGAGGAAGTGCCAGCGTGACAACAGCCCTGCACTGTTTTCCCATGAGCACTGTTTTCCCCACTCTTATTCCCCCCACCGCAACCCCCGCCCCAAGTGTTCTGCCATCAACAAGCCAGTGGGCGTGAAGTACTGGCTTGAGAACAGCCCTGCACCGCCTTCCCCTGACCTATGTTTTCCCCATTCCCTCCCCCCATTCTCCTCTTCTCCTTCTCAGGTATTCTGCCATTAACAAGCCTGTCGGGGTGAAGTACTGGCTTGACAACAGCCCCGACGCGCAACAGGTCGATTTTGTCCTCATCCTCGACGCGGATCAGATCCTCCGCCGCCCGATTCTGCCCTGGGAGCTAGGCGCCGAGCGAGGCCGCCCAGTTTCCGCTGACTACGGGTGCGTGAAGTGGAGTGTGGTGAGTGAGCGAGGGAGTAGTGGGTTGGAGTGGCCCTCTGATGAGAGTTGGAGAATTATGAGCGACGATGAGAGTGGATGAGACGATGAGAGTGGATGAGACGATGAGAGTGGATGAGACGATGAGAGTGGATGAGACAAAGAGAGTGGATGAGACGATGAGAGTGGATGAGGTTAGGGGAATCATCCCCATCCACGTGGACGACCTGTTTGTTCGGTCCTCCCCTCTCATTCTTGGTGTCTTCTCACCCCCACTCCAGGTACCTGATCGGGTGTGACAACATCCTGGGGTCGCTGCACATGAAGCACCCCAAGCATTGCGACAAGGTCGGGGGGTACATTGCCATCCACGTGGACGACCTGCGCCTGCTGGCTCCCCGGTGGATTGCCAAGACGGAAGAGGTAAGTGCGAGAGGAGGCAAGGGAGTGAGTGAGGAGGTAAGGGGGGGAAGAGGCTGGGGAAGGGACTCGCACTCGAGGTGACTTGACCCATCCTGACCCGACAAGGGACCCGACCGGACCGGACCCATCCTGACCCGACCTGGGCCAAACCGGACAGATCTGGCCCGTCCCGGCCAGACCCGACCTGGCCCGACCTTACCTACTCGGCCCGGCCCTACCCACCCCGCCCTAGCCCAACCCGACCCGAACCAAACGGACTGGCCCGACCTGGTCTGATGCGACCCGACCCAATGTGGGCCGACCCGACCCCGGCCTGATCCAGCCCGACCCAGCCTGACACGACCCGACCCAGCCCGAACCAACCCTACCAGGATAAACCCCAATCGTCTCGGCCCGACCTGACCTGACCCGACCCAACCTGACCCAACCCGACCCGACCCGACCCGACCCGGCCCGACCCAATTCGACCCGGCTCTACCCCTCCCAACCGGCCTGACCCGACCTGGCCCTTCTCGGCTCGGCTCGACCCGACCCGACCCGACCCGACCTAGACCAACCCGGTCCAACCCATTTCGGCCTGGCCCGGCCTAGACCCATATTAACCCATTCCTACCCGACTCGGCCCGACCCGAACCGATCCGACCTGACAGCCCAACGCGACCCGACCCGATCCGACCCTGCCCGGCCCGACCCTACTCGACCCGACCTGAACAGAGCAGACACGGATCACTATGCCACCAACATCACGGGCGACGTGAACGGGCAGAGGTGGGTTTTGAGTCAACTCAAACGTCTCATCTCTTCTTGTTTGCTTCTCACTTTCTCCCCTCAGGTGCGAGCGGACAAGGAGCACTACGCCACCAACATCACGGGCGACGTGTACGGGCAGGGGTGGATCAGCGAGATGTACGGCTACTCGTTTGGTGCCTCCGATGTGAGTATCCCACCAAGTGGTTCTCTTCGCACCCCTTAAAGGTTCTAGCTGTGAGAGCAGACAAGAGGGGATTGAGCACTGATGTACGGGCAGCAGTAGATCTGCTGCTGCAATAGGTGTATGGCTATTCTTTTCATGCCTCTGATGTGAAAGCCGAGCATTGTGTGGCATGGCATGGCATGGCGTGGCATGGCATGGCATGGCATGGCATGGCATGGCATGGCTAGGGACAAACAGTGCTGTATGCATGTGCTGCCACCAGATTACTGTGTGATGGTTGTAGCACCATTCCGGGTAATAGATGATTAATACGATGTTATTGTGGTCAGCATCTTTCTGTCTATCCCTTTCAGTCCCTCATCCCTCCTCTACTCTCACCCCCTTCATCTCCTCTCCCTCTTCCTCGCCTCTTTCCTCAAACCAATTTACACCAGGTGGTGATAGACAGGATAATGTTCTACCCGGGCTTTTGAGTTGACTCAAAAGCAGACAGGATAATGTTCTACCCGGGCTATCGCTGTTGCTCTCACCCGTCTCCCTCTCCTCTCCTGGACCTCTTGCCTGCCCCAACCCTCAGGCCAATCTACACCACGTGCTGATAGACAGCATAATGCTCTACCCGGGCTACCCACCTCTCTCCTCCTTTGCTCTCTGATCTCTCTGTTTCCGGACAACTCCCGCTTCCCACATGCTCTCTTTCCTCAGCCTCTCCTCTCCGCTCCTCTCCTCCTCTCCTCCTCTGGCCGCCCTCTTCCTCTCTCTGCCTCCCTTTCTCCTCCTCCCACCTCCCTCCCAGGCCAATCTACACCACGTGGTGATAGACAGCATAATGCTGTACTCAGGGTACCCCTCTGTGCCCAACGTGGACCCTCGTCTCTTCCACTACGGCCTCTAGGTCAAACTGCTCACCTACTCCTGGGATAATTCCCGCTTCCCACGTGCTGCACTCCCATCAATTCCCCACTCATCTCTCCTCTTTTCCCCCTCCTCTTTTCCTTGCATCCTCTCTCCTCCCCCACTCCTCTCCCTTTCTCCTCCTCCCCCCTCTCCCTCCACAGGCCAATCTACACCATGTGGTGATCGACAATATAATGCTCTACCCCGGCTATCCCCCTGTACCAAACATCGACCCTCGTCTCTTCCACTACGGCCTCGAGGTTAAAGTTCTGAATTACTCCTGGGACAAGTCCCGCTTCCGAGACACCCCCCTAGCCCTCACCTGCGGTTACCATTTCCCCGACCCTCCTGACGTTACGGACTTGCCCCCGTTACCCTCTCTCAATTCTGGTGCTGCTGCTGCTGGTGGTAAAGGTGGTATTGGCGGTTTATTTGCGGGGCTTAGGGGTGGAGGAGGGGGGGAAGAGGAGAGGGTGAAGAAGCTGAAGGAGTTGCAGGAGGAGCGGCGGAAAGAGTTCATAGTTATTGAGTGTGTTGCGGTGCTGAATCGTGCTTTAAGAGAGTATCACCGGCTGAGGCTAGGGTGCCCTGCGTCTGGCGAGAAAGACGTGGGCGTTATGGATCTTACTGGAGCGTCTTTTATCGAGTCGGGGAGTGGGGGAGGGGGTGTGAGGGAGCTTAGAGCTGATGTGTGGGCGAGAGTGAGAGATGGGGGAGAAGGGATGGAGGTGGAGGAGGAGAGGAGGACGGGGAGGACTGAGGAGGGGAATGGGGATGTGGAGAGAGTGGGGAGGTTTGTGGTAGAGAGTGTGGAAGTGAGGGAGAGGGGGGGATTGGAGCGAGGGCTTGTTGTTGGGGTAGAGATGGCAGAAGGGGAGAGAGAGCGGATGGAGGAGAGGATGGAGGAGAGGATGAGGGAGGAGGATGGGCAGGAGGGAGGGATAGGAGGGGTTGGAGAGGTGGGGGTAGAGGAGCAGCAGGGGCAGAACAAGCAAGGGAATGAAGAAAACCATATTGAACAGCAGCAGGAGCATCAGCAAGGAGAGGAGCAATTGAAAGGCGCAGGAAACGGGGAAGGTGGATTGGTTAGAGATCAGCAAGAAAATTCTGGTGTAGAGGAGGTGAATACATTTAAAGGCAGCGGTGGTGGTATCAAAGCACAGAGTGGTAAGATCCAACAAATTCGAGGGCTCTTACGTGGCAGGCGATCATTAGTCGGAGGAGATCTGAGCTCCGCAGGTGATAGGGCGGCTGGTGGGGTTGGAGGAGGGGGCGAGGGCACCACAGAAGGTGGGGTGGATTGGGTGCTGTGGTTGAAGCGGTATAAGAAATGGCTTGCTGCGCCGTGGGTGCTGGCTGCGGTTATGCTGCTGCTGGTGGTTACCAGGAGGCGGCAGCGGAAGCGGAGGGAGGGGAGGGAGATGAGAGAAGCGCGGCGGGAGAGGAGGGCGAGGAAAAAACGATCGGAGAAGATCCCAAAGGATGTGACAGACTAACATTCTGAAAAGAAATACATACACAGCATTCATGATAGATTTTCTTGTGGTTCTAGTACCAGTAATTGTATGATGGTATTTGTGTGAAAACGATGATGTGTTCAGACGCGAATGTTCTTGCTGACATGCGTTTATGCTAAAATCAGAAGTTTCTACCAAAAAGAACGGGATTCTAAGACTAACATTCAATTCTAATGATGATTTTGCAATGTGTTACGAGTGCAATTGATGAGTGAACGAACGAGAATTGCACTATCGAAGCAAGAGTACAATGAGCGAAGGCATGAGCGAAGAATATATAGCGAAACTACAGTGGTAACGGTAATGGACTGTGGTTGTCGCGCGACGGGCCTGGGACTGAGGTTGGGAAAAAGTGTCGAAGTGGAGGCCCGGAGCGCGGGTTACCCGCCGAGCCGTGAGGTCGGGGTGCGATGTGTGAAGGTGGCGGGCGGATTGTCGATGCGAGGGTTGCGAGTGGTAACGGTGCTGACTGTGGTGCTACAGTGATGTACGCGTTGAGCAGGGATGCGAAGTAAGGAAAAGGAATTTTCCTTACACTACCCCCCCCCCCCCCCTAAGGAGGTCCTCCTTACGAAAGTGCGTGTACATCCCTGAAATTTTGGCTGCGTAGATACTCGGTGAGGACGGGGTGGTTTTCGATTCTGTCCAGGGGAACCCAATTGTCTTCGGTGGGTGTACAATCCTTCCAGCGGAGTAAGAACTCGATCCTTCGGGCTCCTCGAGGGTCGCGAACTCTGTGACTCAGGATTTTCTCGGGGGTGACGATTGGTTCGGTTGGTGGTCTTGTCATGCTGGCTGGGCGATTACGTGGCAGTTGGCCCGTGGACGGGACGTAAGGGCGAAGTAGGCTGACGTGGAATGAGGGGCTGACGTACCAGTCAGAAGGGAGGAGGAGGTGGGCGGTGACGGGTGTAAGCATGTGGCTTATGCGAAATGGCCCGCAGTATCGAGGGCGGAGTTTCGGGGTGATGGGCAGGCGGAGGTTCTGAGTGTCAAGTAAAACTAAGTCGTCGGGCTGGTAAGTGACAGGTCTGCGGTGGCGGTCGGCGTTGCATTTAGCGATGATGTCCGATTTTTTTATTGCGTCTGCTGCCCGGGTCCGTGCTGCTTGTAATATTTCGGCGAACTGTTGTGCTCGTGGTACTGGGTTGTCGGGATTCGGGGTCATGGGTACTGTCGGGTCTTGTCCGTAGTTTAAATAAAATGGTGACTGTTGGGTCGTGGCGGATGGCGAGTTGTTGTACGCGAATTCGATTAGTGGCAGTTGCTGTTCCCACGTGGTCGGGTCGTCACACTTGGCCCTGATGAGCTGTTCCATGGTCTGATTTGTCCGTTCTGTCTGTCCGTCAGTTTCGGGGTGGTATGATGAACGGAACTGTAGTCGCGTGCCGAACTGCTGCCACAGGTTCCGCCTGAAGTTGCTGGTGAATTTCGTGTCGCGATCGCTGATGATCGCGGCTGGTATCCCGTGCAGTCGAACGACGGTGGAGATGAAGAGGCGTGCAATTTCTTCGGCTGTGATTGATTTTTTGCAGGCAGCAAAATGTGCCATTTTCGTCAGTCGATCGACGACGACCACGATCGCGTCGTTCCCACTTGCCCCGGCTGGTAACCCCGTGACGAAGTCCATCGTCACCTGCTGCCAAGCACGCTCTGGGGATGGTATCGGCTGCAACTGTCCCGCCGACCGCTGTCGTGATGATTTCATGAGCTGACAAGTGGGACACGATGCCACGTGTCGTTGTACGTCGGTCAACATTTCGGGCCAGTAATAATACCGCGGCAGCTGGTGCCGTGTTTTTTCTACTCCGAAATGTGTTAAACTTATATGCTATAGTCTGGGTAGGCTGTAGCGGGGTAGACAATATGGGGTACAACACTTTTAGGTTTTCCTACTTGTACCCACCTGTTTGCCAGTCCATTCATTCCTTGTTCTATCACATGGTATAGAGCAGGTTCCCTAGTGGGAACGTTTCCTAGGGCCCACCGAAAATCGACTTTTGTTTTTTTCTTGTTCGGAGCGCGCTTTGCCCCTGCCCGAGTCGCGCCCCGTGTGCCTGCCCTCCCGCCGCGTCCCCTGCCCTTAGCGGCCCGTCGCGCTCCCTTACGGCCCCGTAGCGGCCCCTCTCTCGGCCCCTCACGGCCCCTTTCACGGCCCTTCGCGGCCCCTTCAGGCCCTTCGCGGCCCCTTCGTGGCCCCTCGCGGCCCCTTCGCGACCCCGTCGCCGCCCTCCGCGGCCCCGTCGCCGCCCTTCGCAGCCCCGTCGCCAACCTTCGAAACCCCTCGCAACCCCTTCTCGGCCCCGCCGCCGCCCTTCGCGACCCCGTCGCCGCCCGTCTCGGCCCCGTCGCCGCCCTTCGCGGCCCCGTCGCCACCCTTCTCGGCCCCGTAGCCGCCCTTCGCGGCCCTTCTCGGCCTCGTCGCCACCCTTCGCGGCCCCTCACGGCCCCTTCGCGGCCCCGTCGCCGTCCTTCGCGGCCCCTTCACGGCCCTTCGTGGCCCCTTCACCGCCCTTGGTGGGCCCTTCTCGGCTCCTCTCCGGCCCCTTCTCGGCTCCCTCCCGGACCTGCCGCCCCGCCGTCGCCGCCCCTGCAGCAGCAGCCAACGCCGCTCCAGCAGCGGGAGCCGCCACCGCCGGTGCCGCCGACAGCAGGCAGCCGCCGCCGCCACAGCAAGGGCCGCATCCGCCGCAGCAACCTACAGCAGCAGCAGCCGCCGACGGAAGCAGCCGCAGCCGCCACAGCCGGGGCCGCAGCCGCAATAGCCGCCGCCTGCAGCTGCCGTCGCCGTCGACAACAGGGGCCGCCGCCGCTGTCCCGGCCCTGCCCTGCAGAGCGGAGCGGCGCTCCTCTGCCGCCCTGTAGCGGCCCCGTCCCTGCCGACGCGCCTCGGCCCTGCCCCACCACTTGCGGCACTCTACCCACCTGCCCTGGTAAGAGCACCACCGAGCCGCGCCCCTCCTATTGCTACTGCTGCTTCTGCCCCTAGCCTGCTGCCACTGCTGTCATGGCTACCCCTAGCGTTCTCGCCTTTGATGCTGAGGGTCGGGCTGTTGACTTTGAGGTCTGGGTCGATGATCTACAGCTTTTCCTAAAGTGCGATAGGAAAGACAGTCTCTCACTGTTCGATCTCACGTCTGGCGCCTCTGCTGCCCCTGCTGCCGATGCTGACAGCACTGTTCGCTCACAGTGGGCCATACGCGATGCTGCTGCCCGTCTTGCTGTACGTAGTCACCTGCCGTCCACTGAGCGCGCGCACTTTAGTCAGTACAAGAGTGCTAAGACCTTGTACAACGCTGTAGTTGCACGCTACTCTTCCCCTGCCACCGCTGCCCTTAGCCGCTTCATGCTGCCGTACCTGTTCCCTGACCTCGCCGCCTTTCCCACTGTCGCTGACCTCATTACGCACCTTCGCACTAGTGACACCCGCTACTGCGCTGCGCTTCCTGCTGAGTTCTGCGCCAAGAACCCCCCCCCCATGTACATCACCCTCTACTACATAGTCACCCGGCTCCCTGACTCCCTTCGCTCGGTGAGGGACCACTTCCTCTCTATTTGCCCCACCACACTCACCGTTGACCTCCTCGAGGAGCGCCTCCTGGCAGCTGAGAAGAGTATAGTTGCTGTAGGAGCCTCTCGTGGTGACCCTCGTGCCCCCTTCTTTGAGGGGTGCTCCCCCTCCCCCCTTTTGCCCTCTGTTGCCTCTCCTTCTTCCGTCGACTTCGTTGGCACCGAGTCGGCCGGCGCTGCGTCTGCCCCTAGCGGGAGACGCCGCACCGGCAAGGGCAAGGGGGGCAAGGGCGCTGGAGGGGCTGGTGGGGGCGGTGGAGGTGGCGGTGGAGGCGGCGGAGGGAGTGGGGGTGGCGGTGGGAGTGGTGGCGGGGGTGGGGGCTTCGGTGGCGGCGGTGGAGGCGGAGGTGGTGGCGGCGGTGGCGGTGGGAGCGGAGGAGGAGGTGGTGGCGGCGGTGGCGGAGGTGGCGGCGACGGAGGTGGAGTTGGTCGGGGTGGCTCTGCGCAGCGGAGCGGCTTCAGTGGTGGTCAGCGCCAGCAGCAGCAACCCACTCGTGACACCCCGCCCCCCCAGCAGCTTCGTGAGTGGTACACTGCACGCCAGCGCGGTGGGGGTGCTGATCCTTGTGCCTACGTCCTGCGTACCGTCGACCGCACTGGTGAGCAGTGCGGTGGCCCGCACACCACCCAGCGCTGCTTCGGCTGCCTGACGGACGCTTGGCGTCTCCAGTTCCCTGACGCCACTGAGATCCCCCGCTGGGGTGAGCTGCTTAGGTTGGGGGCTGCTATCTTTGATCTGCATTATGATGCCATTCTTGCTGCCATGTATGTTGTGTCTACTAGTAATGAGGGTGACTGTTACCTGTGTCTCGCGCCTGACCCGGGCATTGACGCTGCTGCTCTAGGTGCTGGTGAGGCTGCTGCTCTAGGTGCTAGTGCGTCTGCTGCCCCAGGTACTGGTGAGTCTACTCTCTCAGGTACCACGTCGGCTCAGGCCTGACACACCTTCACCCTTGACTCGGGTGCTTCCCGCTCCTTCTTTCGAGACCGCACCACGCTTACGCCGCTTAGTCGGCCGGTTGCGGTCTCCCTGGCGGACCCCTCTAGGGGTCCTGTCCTTGCTCACTTCTCCACTGTCTTACCGTGTCCGGCGGCCCCCTCTGGCACCCTGTCCTGTCTCTACCTCCCCTCGTTCTCTACGAACTTGGTGAGTGGTGCTGATCTAGAGGATAGGGGGATTGACCAGTTCACTCCTGCGAGTGACCCACTGTACGTGTGCTCGGACGGGCCGACACTTGGCCACGTTTATCCGTCAGCCGGGGTCGAGCCTGTACACACTGACTAATGAGTCTCCTCCGGTTGCTGAGTCTGGTGAGGTAGTTGCGTCGGGTCAGGTGTTTGCTGCGGCATCCAGGTCTGGTCCTGAGTTTGCTCCTTGCTCGTGTCGTCTCCTGTCCCACAGGACTCTC